ATGCAAAACTAAGATTTGATTGCTCAGAGCACTAGATATTAGTACATTTACATATGGCTGTGAAACATGGACCTTTAACAGCTGAACTTGAAAGAAAGATACAAGCACTAGAGATGCGATGTTTCATAAATTTTTTTGGCATATCATACAGAGACCACATTTCAAACAAAGAGGTTTGCCATAAAATTATACAGCACATTTGGCAACTATCAACCTCTTTTAACTACAGCGAAAAATGCAATGGTATGCACATGTAATAAGATCTAACAGCCTCTCAAAAACAATACTGCAGGGCTCAGTAGAGGGAAAGAAGGAAAGAGGCAGACCAAGAAAGTCCTGGTTACAGAACCTGACTGACTGGACAGGCCTCAGGCATGCAACCATGAAGTCCATCGCAACTGACCTTTAAAGGTGGAGAGAGATGATCAGACAGACAACAGAAACTGGTGACCCAACGACATGTAGTGTTACGGGATAATGATGATAATTCTCAATTCCAGTGTCTTAGATAGCTGAGCATCATTTCTTTTTGCCTGCTGTCTGCCTCTTCTACCCCAGACACAGTGATGTTCTCCAGTGCCTCTCTTAGCATCACAACCAGTATTGACCATACTTACAGTTGTGTTCTAATTTCGGCAGCACTTTCCAGGCTGTGTCGAGCCGAAAGGCATAGATATCACAGCCTATCTGAAAAGTAAAATCATTGTAGGAATCACCTTTATAAAGGCGAACACAAGAAGAAGTATTTTTTTCTTCTTCTTCTTCTTGGTGTTCATAGGTTGTAAACTCCTGCAGAAAGTTCTTGTTGTTTGTCCACCTCTGGACTTTAGTCTTGTTCTATAACCTGAGTGTTGCGTGCATATCCGTTTAACACATCTGACTTGATTGTATGCAGATTATTGGTTCCTTGCTTCTCAGGCAGACTTCCAAGTAAGCTCCCATTTAGTCGACTCTTACCACATGCTTGTTAGGCAGGCGATGGGTCTATTCTTGTTTCTCTCCAATGGGGCCCCGGGACCCACATGGGGAGGCATGCTAACTGACAGCTGCGATTACAGTTAACCAGTTTTCTTATTTTTCTTCTTCTCCTCCTCCTCCTCCCTCTTCTGCGTTCAACATCAGCCATGGAAAACATTTATTCCCGTCTGGGTCACAAATAGGATTGTGCATCTAATGTCGCCACCCCCCCCCCCCCCCCCCCCCACAACTTCTCTTGCAGTGTAGCCCCCTGGGCCAGATTCTCAGTCTTTATTGGGAGTAGTAGTTAATGATTAAAAGTTAAATATTTTCACAGCTGAATACTTTACATTGACATTGTAATTGGTAATAAACGGGATATATTTAAAAATATTTGAATGGAAAACAAAACTAAATTTTTTATCCATGACGAGTACACATATGCTATCCTCTCCCTCTATAAGAGTTAATTAATGAAGTAGTATTAGTTTCAGTTCCCAGGTCGACCCAGCCTTGAGTGGATACTGGGTGCAGTCCCGGGAAGTAAAGGTGGCCTGCGTGATGCTGACCACATCAACCATCTTGTGCCATTTGGTCTATAAAAATATAGGTCTAGCCCTATATGCCCTATACACCTAAAGGAGTGGAAAAGGGTCCTTAACTTTAAAAAAAAAATTAGTTCTAGTAAAGGAAGTCAGTGTTTACTTACATTACATAAGTCCATTTAAGTGGTTCACTCGTTTACTTCATGCTCTGAAGGTTTGACTTCAGATTCTCCTTTAATTTGTGAAGTATTTTGGGAGATAGCTGGAGCCGCAGTGTGTTGTGTTTTGTGTGATGTTCCTGGTAAATGAATAGCTGCTCTGCAAGGAGAGACTGAGCCATATTGGATGCAGCGTAGTGTAGTTTAGCTGATCCTCTTGCCTTTTAAACACTTTTATACTCATTTGGGCTCAATGGCCACATTTTGAGGAAGGACAAGCTTGTCATAAAAGGTGACTAATTAGGGGAGTTTCCTTCAGAGACATACATCTACCTAAAGGTGAGAAACCAACAGTCTGCACACAAAATAAGCCAGATCTGCAAAATGGATGTGCACATAAAACTCAAGTTCTGTAGCAAGACCAAAGTGCAGAAATTGATGGACAACCAGAACTTTCTACCAGAATTTACAACCGGTGAACTTTGAGAAAAAAGAAAACACATTTAAACTCCATGTTATTTAAATAATGTCTGGTATGAAAGTTTTAGTTTATACACTTAAGTTGTTTTTTTATGTTTCTGAAAATTTAGACTGCTTCTGAAAATGCAAAAGAATTAGAAAAGCTGAAGTCAGACTTGGCCAAGGTTAGGTAAGTCTCTGTTGGGCAATACATGATGTTAGTATTACTGTACTTCTTTGGCGATAGGACCATCGGGGATTTTAGGGAGCAGTATGTCCTCTGTTTAGCTAAGAATACGACAATTTGGAGTAAAGATCAGCACAGCCACGCATGAGACTGGATGTACAAGAAGTGATTAGTGATTAGAAAGGATTATCATCACAGCACTCCCAGCAGATCCATAGGTGCTCCGATCTCCTCTTCAAAAGCTCCACAAGTGTGAAACGACTGATGACGCCTGTTCTGTGTTGGTTAATGAAACGTCTTGTCCCCTTAGTGAAATATTCATTTCTTGCAGCTCCAGGCTGCACCCCCATGTCCAACAGTCTAGACAGGGATACGGAGTCATGTCCTTTAGCATGCTCCTCGGTACGGTAAGTGCAGCGCACAGCATTGATAATATCACTTCTGTCCAGTACTGGACTAGCCATAGCAACCGAGGTGCTTTGATGTGGTAGTTGGTCTTCTGAGCTGATAACAACACACCCTGGTTTGCCACAGAGTTAGAATTATTCCCCATAAGAAGTCAATAAAAGACCCTTTTCCATGCTCTCAGGTGTATTAGGCATATAGGACTAGACCTATATTTTATAGACCAATCAACACTCAGGGGGTGATGTGCTCAACATCACACTGGCTGCCTTTACTTCCCCAGGACTTAACCTAATACCTATTTAAGGCTGGATTAACCTGGAAGCCAAAGTCAGCTTTTAAAAAAAAATCCCGGCTCTCTCAGGACCTGAACACATGACCTTCGGATCCGCAGGCTGCTACACCACGATGACTGCCAGAACTGTTCCTGGTAGTTAATATGTGCTGGACTAATTCATAACCAGAGTAAATCCTACTACGCCTCCCTGTAATGTTGAGTTGAGTCAAGAATTGACATCACAGAACTCGGGCGTTCCCATGCATGCTTCATCCTCATCTTCAGCAGCCAGCGCAGAGTTCCTATACAAATGATACCGGTTGTAATCTGGTTTAATGTCCGTCTTGCCTTTCCTCTGAGTGTATTGAGCCGGCCAGACCCTTTGGTTACACCCAAATGCCTCATTCTCTCCAGGTCATAATAATTTTGTTTCTCTTCTGACTTCGTTACTTGTTTCCAAAGGGCCTTGACCACATCTGCTTTGTCATGTATCAGTTCACCACCTGGTGGAGCAGATCCAGTCAATCTGTCTGCCTGTTCATTACCCACCACGCCGGTATAGCCTGGAGAAAAGATCCAAAGTATGTGTCCATGTAATGAGAAGTTCCAGTACTGGTCTTGCACATCCTGCTAGTTTCTGAACTGGGATAAGGAAGGAGAGCTCTGCACGTAGTCTTAAAACAGTTGGTACTTTGGGAGCAGGCTGGGAGACATGCTTCTGAGCCAGTATAATTGAGATAAATCATTATCATCGGCAGCCGTTGTGGTGTAGCGGTTAGATGCTCGCCTCCGGATCCGAAGGTCGTGGGTTCACGTCCAAATGATGCTGGACTTTAAAAAAAAAAAAATAACCGTGGCTCCCAGGTATAGCCAGGGTTGAATGGGTACCAGGTAAAGTCCTGGAAAATCAAGGTGGCTGGCGTGATGCTGACCAACTGCTGATTGGTCTATAAAATTCAGGTCTAGCACTATAAGCCCCGTATGCCTAAAGTTGTGGTTGGTGGGCACAATATAAACAATTTACATTATGCTGATGACACAGTCTTGATAGCAACTAGTCAGAAAGAACTACAGGAAATGATAGACATTGTGGTGTTAGAAAGTGGAAGAATGGGCCTCAGTTTGAATAATGGGAAGACAGAAGTAATGGTGGTATCAAAGAAACGAATTTTTCCTAAGTGTGTAATAAAAGTTGATGGTGTTATTTTAGAACAAGTACAGAAATTTAAGAATCTGGGCACATGGATAACATCAGATGGAAGATGCATAACTGAGATAAGAAACAGAATAGGGCAGGCAAAAACTGCATTTTATAAAATGAAAAACATCTTGTGCAATATATCCTTGTCATTGAGAGTTAGAAAAAGAATTCTTGATTGCTACATACATCCAGTTTTAACATATGGCTGTGAATCCTGGACAATAGGTAGGCAGGCCAAACAATTCCTGGAGGCCTCGGAGATGTGGTTTTACAGAAGAATGCTTAGAATACCTTGGACAGCCAAAAAGAGCAACCAAGAGGTTTTGAAAGAGGCGGGAGCCCAAAGACAACTTATCACAGACATCAGAAGGAGACAGTCATCATTTTTCGGCCATGTTATGAGATGAGGGAAAATAGAACATGTTGTGACCACTGGAAAGATATGTGGAAGGAGAGATAGAGGTAGACAACGAGAGAAGATGCTTGACAGTCTTGTTTGCATGGCATGGAGGGGTGTCGGCATACGAACTTATACATGCTGCAGGAGATCGCAGATTATGGAGAGGCATGATCGCCCACGCCAGTCGGCAAGGCACCTGATGATGATGATGATGATGCCTAAAGGCGCAGAAATGGGTCCTTACTTTTTTACTTATCACTTTCATCATCAGCAACCCTGTTTGCCATTATATGGCACTTGCGGCTCACAGCTTTTTCCCCTCCATTTTGATTAAATAAGTTTATATTTTCTAGATAAACACTTTAGCAGATAGCATTTTTCTCTTTTAACATGAAGCAATTGTTTATTCAGTAAACAGAATGAGGAATTAAAGCAACAGAAGTCGGAGCTACAGGAAAAATTGCAGTCATATGTAAGGGAATGTGTTTCTTTGTATGGTTTTAGACCTAGAATTATCTGAGAAACTTTCTTAGATGTACATTTGTATAATGAGTAAATTGATTGTTTGAACTTAGTTTCACGTTTGTGTAACAGTTTGTGCTGAGTGAGGATGATCTACAGACTAATAGACTAGGAGTCTTGGAAATCTGTTGAAAATTGTTGAATGTTGAATAAGGAAACAACATCACAGCACTCAGGACACTCCTATAAGGACTCAGTCTCCATCTTTAGAAGCAAGCGAAGAGTTCCAATTCCGATGATGGCAGTAACCGTCTGATTGTATATCTGTCTCATCCTTTCCCTGAGTGTTAAGTGTCGGCCAGATCCCCTGGTTGAAAATACTGACAGACAAAAGAGTCCAGGGGAACGTTAGAGGAGGATGCCCAAGAAGCAGTTATATCACTGAAACCTTCGTCATCATCATCATTCATTACCATCATCACCATTCATCATCATTATCACCATTCATCATCATCATTGTCTTGTTGTGCCATAATATGTCATATAGGGCTCACAGTCTGTTCCTCCATTCCTTTGTATCCTTTGCAATAAATTAACACACACCTTGGAAGCAGCTGCATAGATAATTAAGGATATTAGAGCTTGCTGTAGGATGATAGAACGTCTGTGCTTCGTCGGGGCATACAGTTCAAATCAGTAGAAGAGAAAGAGGAAGCACCAAGTGGCTTACATTCATTTTCTTTCTGCAGGCAATAGAAAACAGATCGCTGCGCAGCTCAGTGGAAGATTTACAGAAGCGTTTAGAGATGGCAGAACTCTATGCACATCAGGTTTGTAAGACCCTGTGATTGGGGTAATAGTGTTTTGTGGTTCTTAAATTAATATCCCATGATGTTAGTTCATACCACTAGACATATATCATGAATGACTTCGACAATACAGAATAAATAGAGAGAGAAAGAAGGAGAAGACTATGGATGACAAAACACACACACGCACGCACGCATGCAAGCACTCAGGCACGCACACACACACACGAACACACACACGAACACACAAACACACACGAACACACACACACACAGATATATATATATATATATATATATATATATATATATATATATATATATATATATATATATATATATATATATATATATATATATATATATATATATATATATATCCTAGACATGCACAGATCTGTCAGTGCAGTCATACTTAAAGTGAGTGACACAGGACAAGCAGTGGTGGGATGGAATCAAAGGGAACTAGGAGGAGAGAGGAAAAAGCAGAAGAATTTTGGAATCTTCGTTTTTGTAAAAGTGCATGAGTTTGAATCCCTACAACACTGAGTAGACAGGATAAAGTGAAGACCACTGCTTTATCACAGCCATCAAGTAACTAAAAATAATGATTTGAAATTTTTTTGATCATTATTTTCAACAAAAACCAGAAACATTAAAAAAAAAAACAAATAAGATAATCTCTTAATGTAAATGCAACAAAGAATAAACTGCTTTCCTTGCCTTTTACTGTAATAAATATGGTTTTGTTGACTTAGCCACGCCCAGCAAAGTGGCACTATTATGAGATTATTCTCTCTTCTGCCTTTCCGGCCCCCAATGGAGTATAGGCCCTCAACCAACTCACACTAAGTTGTTCTATCCTTTGCAGCTCTTCCCATGTCCCCCACATCTTTCTAACTTCATTCTCCAACTCCATTCTCCATGTGTTTTTCAGCCTTCCTTTATTCCTTTGCCTGTGTGGGTTCCAGTGCAAAGACATTCTGGTTATATTGTTCTCCGGTTTTCTCAATGCATGTCCTATCCAATGCCAGTATCTTTTCTTCACCTCTCGGTCCACTGGAGCTTGCTTAGTTCTCTCCCAAAGCTCTACATTTGTGATTTTATCATACCCTTTAATACCCTCTGTTCTACTCAGGCACATTATGAGATTATTATGACGTTACAATTGATGACAAATGGAGGGGGGGGGGGGGGGATTTCGTGTCAGCAAAAACCTCTAAATGCCGGAAAAACAGCTTTCTCAGATCAACAGGCTTAACCCCCTGGATTTGTATACTAACTGACCACGACTGTCAGTGTCTTCTTCTTCACTTTATCTAGTTTCTAGGGGTAGACTTTTAGGGAATTTTAATATGTTCCTTTCTAACGCACTTAGTGAAAAGATCAATTTTTTAAAGATCTTTACGAGGCCAAAGGGTGAAGCTGTTATGTTTATTTTGATTGACGTTGCTGGAAGCACGAAAATCGTAACACCATGCTTAACTTGCCATGCATATCATAAGAGGAAAATAAGACAAGTGGGCATGAAAATGACTACCTCATCGTCTAGAAATCTTTTCTTGCAAAATCAATTTAATTATGAACAAGTCTATAAAGATGTCGAAAATAAGGTTGACTGCAGTTCGGACACTATCAGTTGTTTCTGTGTGCATTTTTTCCCTTTTCCCTCAGTGAGCTTGATAGTTTGTATTGTGTAATCAAAATTGTGTGTGTGGAAGCTTATAAAGGTCAGCTTTAATTTGTTATGGACCTATACTCCATTAAGAGATCAAGGGAAAAAAGTTGAATATGTACAACAGGACCTTGTCTGACTTCTGTGAGTAAATTCAGGAACGTGTACACTTCAACACTAGTAGTTAATTTTGTTTGTCATATTTGATTTTTTTATCATTATATTCTCAGCTGTCTAGCGAGAATGAAAGTTCTCAAGGTAGTGTACAAGTGCTGACCAACTTACAGAAAGAGAAGGATCTGCTTTTAGACCGCTTGCGCCAGGTGAGTACAACATTTGTGGTTCTTTATTTGCTTTTATAGAATTCACTACAAAATTCATACATTAGAGCACAAGTCTTCACCATGCTATTCTATCTCTAGTCAAGACCATCTTTCTTTATGACCTTATACTTATTATTGAGCTTTGTCTTGAATTCCTGCAAGACAGCACTGGGGAATCACAGGTTATGAAGAGGCACGATTGCCTACTCCAGTCAGCAAGGCACTTTAATGATGATGCCAAATCTTATCAACACATGTTTGTAGATCTCTTTCTCTTGTACCATGTTGGATCAACTGAACGGACACATTCTGTTGACTGGTGTTTTCAGTGTATGTACTTCAGTGTCTTTTCCATATACTATTCTCTAGATTATATTTAGTATTCTTACTAAGTTACACATTAGTGATTCTGTTAGATAATTTTTATTTACGTCTATTGCCATTCACACACCAGTTAATGAATGTTTGTAGTTTTATAATAGTTGTTTTAGTTAGACTCCACGGTTCTTCTCCATACAGCATTACAAAGTTAAAGTTAAATATTCCAGGTTTAATTCTACTATAGGTTTTATTTTTTTTAACTTTGACTCACACTGGCACATACGCACAGGCGCAAGCACACACACACACACACTTACCCACATATGTGCATGCATGCACACATATACTGACATGCGCATGTGCGCGCACGTACATATGCGCACAACACCCATGCACCTACCCACACACACACAAAATTAACTTTTTATATATGTTCTAAAGAGCCTGAAAAGAGTATAATAAAAGAAATCGAAAGAGACAAGAAAAGTATTGACTGTAAAAATCTATAAAAAAACACCTTTTTTGCAAATTTTAAGAAAAAAAAAAACTGCCCTAAAAAACTAGAAGAAGAGAAGAAGAAGCTGGAGAAATTTGGAGTCTGGGTAGGTTTTTATAAATATTGAAGGAGTTGAATACCTGAAGCCCAAGAAGACAGGCAGGCATGAAGTCCTCAGTTTCTTTGATGATGTCACACCACTCACACATGCACACACGCACCACCCTCCCCCCAACCACTACCACCACACCCACCACACCCACCCACCCACTCATAATCCTCATTTTCACCCCTGATTAAACTTAGTTAAATAAGCTCCCTTTTACAGCCTAAAAGTAGGATTTGCCTGTGGGATATCTCTACTTGTACATGCCCCCCCCTCCTCCCACCAGATGGATTTGACCAAACAAACAAATTTGATTCTGCCACCAGGTCGGTTTAGCCTGACATGAGTACAAGGAAATGTCTTTAGAAGTAAAGATAGCCTGGATGATGTTGACCATGTTACCAATTGAGAGCTGATTGGTCTGTGCAGATATCTTCTTCTTCTTCTTCTCCATGTTCACCAGCTGTAAACTCTGTCATCAGTTTTACAGATCTGGCTTCCTTGTGTACAAACTGTTTGTTGGTCACCTCTCAGGCAAATGTGCTCCGACTTGGGGGAATTTTCTAATTAGTCGCCTATTCTTTTTCTCCCAAAAATGGGGCCCTGGAATCCACACGGAGATGTATAAATATGTGTCTAGCATCATATACCTGAGGTGGCACTGGTGTGGAAAGGGCCTATAACTTTAAAGCAAAAATCCAGTTTTTTTCCCCCACCTATTATCCACAGCATCTTCTTCTTGTGTCGTTTCACTGTTACCAGGTTGTAGCCCAGTGTCGTGGTTTTGTCGTCTCACTGTTACCAGGTTGTAGCCCAGTGTTGTGGTTTTCCATATTTGTCTTGCACTTCTCGGATGGCTTGAGTAATGGATCAGTAATGGAACTTTTTGCAGGTTTCATCTACACCATTTATTCATCTCTTTCATGGTCTTCCTCTCGCTTTCCTTCCAGATGTTCTACTGTAAAAAGTCTCATATGCAGTCTGGTCTGGCTGCCTTCTCACTAGATGGCCAAACCATTTCATTCTTTGTCAATATAATCTAGGAATGGTTTTATTCTAACTTTATCTCTAATGCTGGTATTCGTAACCCCGTCTTGTATGGTGTTGTTAGTGACCTTGCAGAGGTCGCGCATTTCACTTGAAGTTATTTTCTGTTCTAGTGCCCTGTTCATTGTCCATGTTTGGCACTGATAACGTAAAGTGGAGATAAAGATGCTATTAATCATTGGCTGTTTTGCTGCAGGGGAGACATTTGGGTGTCTAAGCAGTGGGACTAACTGGTAGGTAACAGCATTTGCCTTCTGTATCCACAGCATGAAGAACTGAATCAGAAGCTTCAGCTGGAGAGGGACCAGGTCACAGAGCAATACCAGCAGTATACAGATCAGTTGCGGCACCAGTCTCAGCAGCTTACCCAGCAGGTAAGGACTCAGATGAATCCCGTCCATGGCTAGGCGTGGTTAACATGAATGAGGTGACTACAGTAAAGTAAAGGTCCCTTTATGCGCCAGTGGCGTCTCAGGCATGTCAGGCTGGGCTCACATTTTTATTGACCAGTTCGATGAGTGATTTGGTCAGTGTCACTTCACACAGTCCACCTTCACTTCCTGGGCCTTTACCTCAAATCCTTTCAAGGTTAGGTCGACCTGCGAGCCAAGGTCATGTTTGAAAAAAATCGGGCACTCTGCAGATTTAAACCCATGACCTTCGGATCCGCAGGCGAGCATCTAACTGCTACATCACAGCAGCTTCCTAAACGAGGCAACATCTGGGTCCAACATGGCGGACATTTGCGATTTTTGATAACCACATCATTTTTACATACAAGCTGGATAGTTTTGTCATCTCTTATGTGTAATTAATCGTGCCAAGATGTAAATAAGGAGTTCCCCTCTCCCCCTCTCCAGATTTTTGCCATTGCTACAGAGTTTGTGCAACATCCTTGAGATTTTTTTTCTTCAGTATGCATGTTTACTGAGCAGAACCAGTGTCTTGAACCGCTACACACTGTGGCTTTATACTGAGAGGGAGTTCAAGCACTTATGAGCTGAATTGTTTGATGTGCAGGGAAGGGGATCTGTTAGTAAGTTAGTTAGTTAGTTAGTTAGTTGGGTTATCGTCATTGCACTCCGGACATGTCCATAGGTGCTCAGATCCTCCCCTCAGTATGAACCCCAATGTCCGATGGCTAATAGTACCAGTTCTATGTTGATTAACAAGTCTTCTGACGTGTCCGGTGTGCGTCTCGTTTTTTGCTGTGCCGATCTTAATTCCCAAGTCTGCCATTCTGGCGAGTGATGTGGATTCACTGCCACCAAAGTCCTCTATCCTTCCCATTTCTCTGAGGGCATTGATAATATCAGCATGATCCATAGGCCGACCGTCGGTAGTGATAGCGGATCCAGCCAACCTGTCAGCTCTTTCATTTCCATCGACGCCTGCGTGTCCCGGAACAAAAATAAAGGTGACTCCACGCACAGTGGACTTCTGTAACGATTCAAGCCATTGTCTTCGCACTGAACCTGCCTGAACCCTCCGGATCATACTCATTGAATCACTGAGTATACATATGTGGGTGTATTTTTGTGTTTCAAGCCAGGCAAACGCTTGCGTCACTGCCATCACCTCCATCGTCATGCTGCTGGTTGTCATGGAGAAGGCACCGTTGGCTTCTTTGACTGTTCTGCCCGCTGAGCGTGCTGTAAACGCCCATGCGCTTCTTCTTTGGCGTATAACGGATCCGTCTGTATAGATTAGTGCATCTGCTTCGTCTGAATTTTCACCGATGAGAGCGTTGACCTCTGCATTAACAGCAACAGGATTCTCATCTCTACATCGCCTGTTGAGTGTGACAATACAGGAAAATGTACAAATAAACGCCTGAGGCACAGGTATCCATTCTGCACCAGGTATGATGTCGGTTAGGCTGCATATTTGCCTAATAACATCTTCTGCCCGACCTAGCCACGATTTTCCCCTCTTCAGTCTGTCGCCCTTTTTACTAAAAAGCGCTTGATGCAGTGGGTGTTTCTTATCAGCACATATTGTGAGGTATGCCCGAGCCCTCCACATCCTGATCCTTTGGTTCATTGTTGGAAAGTCAAGTAGATACCTCATTGCTTCACAGGATGTGTCTCTTGTACATCCCAAAATAATGCGCATGGCTTCATTTTGCACCTTTTCGAGTCTTTCAATCTGGGTAGCACTGACAGTGAGGATGGCCAGAGCGTATTCAATGGGTGAAAGGACCAGATCGTAGAATAGAAGTATTAGTAGTCTTTGCTCGATATTGGAAGCAGCCATAATCCTCATTGCAGATAGACCTTTGCGTGCTTTTGTTATCACATGGTCAACGTGTTCCCTGAATGACAAGCTGCGATCGAACCTCACCCCGAGAAACGTCATAACGTTGGTTCTGATCAATATATTATCACGCATTTTAACTTCTGGTAAGTCCGACTTGACAATGTGATTGTTCAAAGAGAACCATGACACTGATGCCTTCGAAGGATTGACATAGGCATTGGAACCATCACACCAGGCGGCAATTCGATCGAGTTCTTTGTGCATTGTGCTGGCGATCTCCTGTCTATCACGCCCTCGTCGATAAATCAAAATGTCATCAGCAAATGACAAAGTCCTTCCCTTTCCATTCAACTGCTGCTCAGTGATCATCACCGTATAAACGTTGAATAAGACTGGTGATAGCGGTGATCCCTGTGGCAAGCCTGGACATATCGTTTGCGGTTCTGAGGACCAGCTACCACATCTTAGTACAATCTTTCTCTGGAACAGGACCGCAGCAATCCAGCGGATCAGAATATGGTTGACTTCTAGTGAGATTTCAAAAGAAGAAGTCACTCCAGGTGTGTGGATGCTCTGTCCCGATGCACCATCCACTTGATACCAGAGAGTGAAGTGATTAACTGTTTGTGTCCCAGGCAATGCAGTATGTGTGACTGGATATCATCTTCTTTTTCTTCTTCTTCTTCGCGATAACTAGCTGTAATCTCCAGCGGAAAGTTCTAGTTGTTGGTCCGCCTCTGGACTTTAGTCTTGTTCTAGAACCTGACTGTTGCATGCACATCTGTTTTACAGATCTGACTTTTTTATATGCAGACTGTCAGTTCCTTGCCTTTCAGGCGCGTGCACTCTGACTTCGAAGGAAGCCCCGCAATTAGTCAACTCTTACAACATGCTTATTAGGGTGGCTATTATCGGTCTATTATGTATGTTTTTATATCTCATGTTTAGTCAAGGAGTCTTTAAACAAATCTAGATGACATATTTGTCTCCTTCAGGGATTGTGCCCTTGGCCCCTGTGGCAGTATTATGCCCATGAGTTAAATGATATCATTCTTGTCTCTCTCTCGGACATTAGCTAATGCTGCCTGGGACTGAAAGAGTTAATATGGAACTGTTTAACTCTTTCTGTCTTCAGCAGCAACCCACATGTGATGTTCACCTGTATTGATAAACTTGTAGTTGTTGTTTCAGCTTCACTGTAAATGGGCAGCTGTTAATTGCTGTGTCACTCTGTCAGGGAAAATCGCACGAAGCGCCCCTCGCTCCGGTTCCAGTGAAAAAACAATTAGTCCTGAAAAATCCAGAACCATGTTGTCATTTTGGGTGGATGGTTAAAGTCTTTAACGTCATTAGTCCATTTTCTCCTTGGGGTGTCCTCTTGCTGTCATATCAGATTTTTAAAAAATGTTTGTATAGAGGTTTTTTGTGTGTGTGTGTGTGCGTGTTTATGGCTCCATTCTAGCAATATGACCAAATCATTTGATCTTGTACTTACCAGTGAATTTGATGCAAGGTGTTGTTCCCACAGTTTCTCACTTGGTCTTGGATGATTATGTTGGCAGCTTTCCTCAGGCATCTCATTTCACGGTTCTTTATTAATATTTTACCCAAAACAGGGGAAATCCACAGGTCACAGGACAGTCTAATATTTCAAGTGGTGGTAGATAGGCTGCTTGCATTCTTGGGACCTAGGCACCACTAGGTGGTTTGGGGTTAGGGCCAGTTCTAGATGTTTTCGGGGTCGTTAAAAGCACCAGAAAGCCGGGAAACCCAGTCTTACCAACCTCTGAAATGTTGGACTGTCCTGTGACATCATCTGGGGTAAGATATTAATAAAGAACCATTTTATCTCCTTTTTTACAATGTATTAATCTGTATGTAATGCTTTTTAAAATGTTAATTTAATACCCTTTTCCAATCTATATATAATATTCTATATTTCTAACTCATCCCCACAGATTACAGTGTTAACAGAAGAGAGAGAAGAACTGCTAAACAGGCAACATGATCTTGAAGGGGCTGTTATAGAATTGCAAAAGAAATTAGGTACAGATATGCTCTGTTTCTTTTTTTCTTCAAATAGCTATTAGTTTAAAGTTAAAATCTGGAAATTTCCTTGGAAGTAAAGGCACCAGGCATAATATTAACCACTTCACTTGTCAGAGCCATACAAAAATAATGCTAGGACCAAATATCACCTTTGTGTTGACAGAGCTTATGTAACACCACACCACCTACCATACATTTGATCAGGCTGGCTAAGGTGCAGTGGGATGGAACTGACTAATTTATACCAGTGTTTTTGAACCAGTAGTCTGCAGACCTGTGACAATCCACTGATATTTCAAGGCAGTGTTACCGAAAAATCAGCCCAATTATGTAATGGCTGTATCATTCAGGCGCTGCATTGCTGCTGAGCTAATGAGGCCCAGCACACAACAGCGTGGCCCCAGAAGTATAGGCCATGCCAGTAATAAAAACCAACCAGAGAAACAGAATGAATGTTATTGCAGTGTTTCATTTCTCAGAAACAACTTTCCAGGCACTTACAGAAGATGTGTCTAACCTCTGAGCAGTAGCAGATGTCTTATTAGTTACAAATTATGATTTTATAATAGGATTTAATTCATAAAATGCAAACTACATTTAATACTGCTCTGTGACATAAAAGTTGGGGAACTCCTTTCACTGTCCAATCTTGGACCTACCATGGAGTGATTTCTGTGGCCCACTGTTTGCATAAAGTGTGTTCTTTTGGTTATTGACAGTGGTATGAGAGTCATACCGGGAAAGAGATTTGGACTTAACAGCGTAGCATTCTCATATGTTTAATTTTGAAACAAGAATTGACATCATAGCACTAGAGACACTCCCATAAGCGCCCCATCCCTATCTTCAGCAGCAAGCGAAGAGTTCCACTTCCGATGGTACCAGGGATTGTCTGATTGTATAGCCGTCTCACCTTTTCCCTTGAGTGTTCAGCGTCGGCCAGATCCCCTGGTAACTCACCGCAGCGCCATTCTCATCAGACTGTAATGATCTGTCTGTGCCTCCACACTGTTCACTCACTCTCAAAGGGTGCTCTCAACATCTAGCTTGTCATACATCAATTCACCACCAAGTGGTGCAGAACTGGCTGACTACATCACCCATTGTGGGCCAATTGGTCTTTTTTCAGTTTTTGTTATCCCGCTTCCTCCATAATTTGCAACAGAAACACACATGAAAACAGCTAATTGTGAACTCCGGGTAGGTTGGCATTTTGAAACTGTGTATCTGTCCGAGAGGCAAGGAATCAACAGTGCATACAAATATGTCTGATTTGTAAACATATTTGCAGGCAACACTCAGGTTCTGTTCTGGAACAAAATTAAAGTCCATAAGTGGATTAGCAACCAAAACTTTCTGCCAGATTTTACAGCTGGCGAATGCGAAGAAGAAGAAATCAATCAGTCATGAATTAAATCAGTCAAATTATCAATCAGTTAATAAGTAAATCAGTCAATCTGTCTCAGTCATTTGTTAAAGTATCTTATTTAGAGCCATGAAATCATATAGAAGGGGTTCTTTTCTGACTGCATATTTCTCTTAAATCAACAGGGCTGCCTTAAAATGAGCAGCTAGTTTTCACTGTGTGAGACATATGGCACAACAATTCACTATCATCTTACTTTATAAAACTGTGACCTTGTTTACACAAAGTCCTTTGACTTCACAGCCTCCTAGCACCATCAACCTTCATACGTCCTGACCTGCAAAACCAGCCAGAAAGGCCAACCTGGCAAACAATGCCTGATGAACTCGAATATATCGATCCAAAGGCACAAATATCGCAGTTATGCTGTAAACAGGCACCACACAATTATGCCATTTTGACGAACTTTGAAGAAGAAGATAATTTAATCTTCTGCTTTTTCTGTGTTTGCCATTAAAGGGGGGCTGACACGCTATGTTGAGGTTTACAGCTAGGCTAAAATATCTTATCTTTCGACCCAGCACACCTGATTCTGACGAAAACAGAATTAGTAATTTTTGTTTGTTTGTTAAGGAACAGTGGATCTATTCTTCTTTTTCTCCCCAAAAGCAGGCCCAGCAACCCACTTGGAGATCACTTGTAATCGATGATGTATTACTGATAAAGTAACATATTGATCAACTGTCTGTATCTATTTCAACAGAAGATGTTGGGAATGCTTCCTATACAACCGCCCCACCAGTGCAAACAGCAGCTTCACCTGAGTTAGTACAGGAAATTGATAAACTAAGGACTAGTGTGAAAGAGGCTGCAGATGCATTAGAGGCTCAGGTTAGGGATAACCTACAGCTGAGCAGGTAGAAATTGTCTGTTACCTGCTGGAGATTTAAATTAATGTTATATATCCTTAGTTTCTTTGCTCATCAATCATTGAACAAACCAGTGCCAAACATGGACCCTTTCTACAATTAACGAGTGGAAGATCGTAACAACAGAGAGAGGATGTAATTAGGAGAGCTGCCGGTGTGACAAGAAGAGATAAGATCAAGAATGAAGACTAGGACTGAAACCAGTCAAACAGTTCTTTAAAGAACAACAATGGAGATGGTTTGGCCACCTGACGAGAATGCCCTGGTAACCAACTGCCAGAAAGAGCCACGCTGACAAAATATAATG